CGAAATCTCCGCCGTTCTTCCGAGAACCATTCCAGAAAGATGTCGTGAACGGAGTTCACGGGTCAGCCCTAGTCACTTACAATGTTGGGATCAGTGCGTGCGAGAAGGACGAGCAGTGGCATCGGGCTCTGGCGCTGCTCAGCGAAATGCGGGAGGCAAAGATAGAACCCGACGTCATCAGTTACATCGCTGGGATCAGCGCGTGCGGAAAATGCGGGCAGTGGCAGCGATCGTTGTCTTTGCTTCGAGACATGTGGAAGACGAGACCGGCTCTCGACGTTATAAGCTACAACGCCGGAATCAGCGCGTGCGTAAAAGGCGAGCAGTGGCAACGGGCTCTGTTGCTGCTCGGCGAGATTTTGTGGTCGAAGTCGGAGCCCGACACCATCTTGTTTGCACTGCCAGGACCTGTGCATGCGGGACGCGTCTGCGATGGCAATGGGCCGCTGGGGCCAGACCACCACCGTCAGGGATTCCGCCCCGGGGGAGCCCCAGAGGGCCATACATGGGACACAAGACGACCAGATAGGTTGTCCGAGTGGGCTCCACGACGGCCCAAGTGGCTCTGCGAGGGCCTCAGCAGAGGCCCGATGAAGCGGTAAGAGTGGCACCGGGCAGCAAAAGTCATGGGAAGCCGTGTGATGGGTCAACATTAGTAGCTTCCCCAGTTTTGAAGCCCAAGACGGCTTCGGTTGGTTGCAGCAGAGCTTCACATGGCTTCGGGGTGCCCCGAGGCAGTCCCAAAAGAGCACCTCGACCGCCCCACGAGGCCTCCAGAACGGCCCCAGACGACACCAAGTAAACCCCAGCGTGCCCCGAAAAATTTCCGAGATGGCCCAAGACAGCCCCAGGAAGGCCTCAAGAGAGTGCCCAGTAGGCCTTCGGAAGGCGCTGAGACTGCCCAAGCGGGCCCGCTCAGGGCCCCCATGCGCCCCAAGATGCCCCCCGACGTTTTCAATAAGGGCCCAGACAGCCCCAGTTCGGCCCCGACAACACCAGCGATCAGCAGCAGGCTAGAAGACTCACAATAAGAGCGCAAGCAGATCAGCAGCCAAGCGACCCACCCCCTGCATGTGAGTCAGCTGTCTTGGACGTGTGCACTCGGGTCCGCAGAGTCTCTCCTACATGGCCGGGGCAAGCGCGTGCGGGAAGGGAAACGGATCGAGTGTCCAAAATCGGCCTCGGCGGGCCCCTGGCGCGGCCTCAGCAGGCCCCTGGCGACCCTGGCACGACCTGGCTTGCCTGGACGCCTTCAGGGAGCGCCGAGATCGGGCCAAGAGTCCCAACATGGCCCCAGGACAGCCCCAGAGGCCGTCCAGACGGCTCGCGGCGGCCAAGAAGCATTGATTTTTCTGTCGTTTTCGCTTGATTGTCAAGTTCTCGCGATTTCGAGCCAAGAGCGGCCCAAGACGGCTCTTGGGGCCCCCCCGAACGCTCCAAGGCATTCCAAGAGCTCCAGCAAGGGCCCCAAGACGGCTGAGGAGGGCTCCAAGACGGCTCCCAGACGAGCCCAAGACGGTACAAGAGAGCCCCAAGACGGCCAGACAGAGCCTCGCAAGGAGCCCCGAGAGGGGCCCCAAGAGCCGCCCAAGAGGGCTGACGGAGAGCTCCGAGACAGCCCAAGAGCCCCAACATGGCCCAAGAGGCCGTCCAGACGGCTCGCGGCGGACAAGAACCATTGATTCTTCTTTCGTTATTAATTGATTGTCAGGTTCTCGCGATTTCGAGCCAAGAGCGGCCCAAGACGGCTTTTGGGGCCCACCCGAACGTTCCAAGGCCGCCCAAGAGCTCCGGCAAGGGCCCCAAGACGGCTCAGGAGGGCTCTATGACGGCTCCCAGAGGAGCCCAAGACGGCACAAGAGAGCTCCACGACGGCCCGAGATAGCCTTTAGAAGCCCTTAAACGGGCCCCATGAGCCGCCCAAGAGGGCTCACGGAGAGCTCCGAGACAACCCAAGAGCCCCTACATGGCCCCAAGACGGTCCAAGAGGCCGTCCAGACGGCTCGCGGCGGCCAAGAGCCATTGATTATTCTTTCGTTGTTACCTGATTCTCAGGTTCTCGCGATTTCGAGCCAAGAGCGGCCCAAGACGGCTCTTGGGGCCCCCCCGAACGCTCCAAGGCATTCCAAGAGCTCCAGCAAGGGCCCCAAGACGGCTGAGGAGGGCTCCAAGACGGCTCCCAGACGAGCCCAAGACGGCACAAGAGAGCCCCAAGGCGGCGCGAGAGAGTTGTAAGGAGCCCCGAGAGGGGCCCCAAGAGCCGCCCAAGAGGGCTCACGGAGAGCTCCGAGACAGCCCCAACATGGCCCCAAGACGGCCCAAGAGGCCGTCCAGACGGCTCGCGGCGGCCAAGAACCATTGATTCTTCGATCGTTGTTGCTTGATTGTCAGGTTCTCGCGATTTCGAGCTCATAGCGGCCCACGACGGCCCAGGGCGGACCCCACGAATGCTCCAAGGCTCAAGAGGTTCCGGCAAGGGCCCCAGGACGGCTCAAGAGTGTTCCAAGACAGCTCCCGGAGGAGCCCAAAACGGCCCAAGAGAGACCCAAGACGGCGCGAGAGAGTCCCTCGACTGGCCCCAAGAGCCGCCCAAGAAATTTCACAGAGAGCTCCGAGACGGCCCAACACCCCCAATATGGCCCCCACACGGCCCCAGAGGCCGTCCAGACGGGCCGCGGCAAACGAAGTCATTAATTTCCCGATGAGTGTTGGAAGATTTCAACCTTCTTGCCATTTGGGCCTCCCCCGAACGCTCCAAGGCCGTCCAGGTGGATCCAGAAAAGGCCCCACAACCACCCAGGGGGGCTCCGAGATGGCCCAGGAGGCGCCCAAGATGGCCCAAGAGCCGCCCAAGACGGCCCGACGACAGCCCGAGAGGCGCCCAAGACGGCCCAAAACGGCCCAAGACTGTCCATGAGGCGCCCAAGACGGCCCCAAGTTTCCCCCAAGACCCCGTACGAGGCCCGAGTATATTTCTGGTCGCAGGACGTGCGCACTCTGCGCACGTTAGATGACGTTGACGAAGTCCGCGGGTTCACCCTAGTCTCTCCTACATGGCCGGGGCAAGCGCGTGCGGGAAGGGAAATGGATCAAGCATCTATAATCGGCCTCGGCGGACCCCTGGCGCGGCCTCGGCGGGCCCCGGGCGCCCCTGGCGCGGCCTGGCGTGCCTCCAGGCGGCTCGAGCGCGCTTCGGGACGCATTCAGGGAGCGCCGAGATCGGGCCAAGAGTCCCAACATGGCCCCAGGACGGCCCCAGAGGCCGTCCAGACGGCTCGCGGCGGCCAAGAACCATTGATGTTCATATGGTGTGTGCTTGATTTTCAGGCAGTCAAGAGCGGCCCCTAGACGGCTCTTAGGCCCCCCCGAACGCTCTTTTGCCTGATTTTCAGTTTCTCGCGACTTCGAGCTCAGAGCGGCCCAAAACGGCCCCTGGCACCCACACGAATGCTCCAAGGCTCAAGAGGCTCCAGCAAGGACCCCAAGACGGCTCAGGAGTGCTCCAAGACGGCTCCCAGAGGAGCCCAAGACGGCCCAAGGGAGACCCAAAACAGCGCGAGAGAGCCCCCAGGAGCCCCCAGACGGGCCCCGAGAGCCGCCCAAGATTCCGAGACGGCCCAACACCACCAATATGGCACTCACACGGCCCCAGAGGCCGTCCAGATGGGCCGCGGCAAACGAAGTCATTAATTTCCCGATGAGTGTTGGAAGAGTTCAACCTTCTTGCCATTTCAAGCCAAGACTGGCCCAAGACGGCTGCTGGGCCTCCCCCGAACGCTCCAAGGCCGTCCAGGGGGATCCAGAAAAGGCCCCACAACCACCCAGGAGGGCTCCGAGATGGCCCAGGAGGCGCCCAAGATAGCCCAAGAGCCGCCCAAGACGGCCAGACGACAGCCCGAGAGGCGCCCAAGACGGCCCAAGATTGTCCATGAGGCGCCCAAGACGGCCCCAAGTCTCTGAGCACGTTAGGTGACGTGGACGAAGTGCGCGGGTTCGCCCTGGTCAGCTACAACAGTGGAATCAGCGCGTGCGAGAAAGGCGAGCAATGGCAGCTGGCGCTGTCGCTGCTCAACGAAATGATGGATGCAATGTTGAAGCCCAACGTCATATCTGTGTTATGATCCCCGGCAGACTACGAGAAATAAACAGCCATGAGGTTCCAGCGGAGCAGACTACCCCCCCTCCCCCGCCCGCTCCGCCTCCCCCTACCCCACGTTTCATCCCGCCCCCTGAATCTAACCCACAGGGTTGCCAGCGTCAGCTACAACGCTGAGATCAGCGCATGCGAGAAATCCCACCAGTGGCAGCGGGCTCTGCTGCTGCTCAGCGGAATGCGGGAGGCGAAGCTGGAGCCCAGCGTCATCTCTCCTACATGGCCAGTGGAAGCGCGTGCGAGAATCTCTCAGGGCCTCGTGTGCACAAAATCGCCCCTTTACGGCGCCACCACCGGGCCGAATCGCTCAAGCAGGTCCCAGAGTCGCTCCAGAGGGGTTCCCAGACCGTCCAAGAGCGCTCCAAGACGGCCTCAGTGGGTCCCGAGACGGCCCACGAGGTCCCGAAGCCTTCCGGTGGGGCTCCACGACGATCCAAGAGGCCGCAAAGACGCCCCAAGAGGGCCCCGAGCGCACGCCAAAGAGACACAAATCGTCAAATTCCCCTGGGAAAACGTATAGTTTCAGCATGCCCGCCTTGTGTGCTCCTCAGCGGCCCAGGACACGCCAAGAGGCCTCCCAAATCGCCCCAAGAAGACGCCAGCGGCCCCTAAGAGGGCTCCAAGACGGCCCACAAGAGCCCCAAGACGACGCCAGAGAGCCCTGAAACGGCCTCACAGAACACCAAGACGGCCCCAAGAGAGCTCCGAGGGGGCCCCAAGAGGCTCCCAAGACGGCCTCAGGCAGCCTCAAGAGAGCTCCAAGACGGTCCAAGGCCTCCCGGACGCCCCGTGACGGCCCAAAATGGCCCGAAGACGTCCCAAAACGCTCCCAGAGCAGCCCAAAAAAGCCTCAGAATGGCCCGAAAAAAAAAGAACAAACAAAAATTATCCCAGTGCGACCCTACCTAGGAGTTGGAGCCCCTAGGAAAGCAGCATTAGTAGTAACAGTAAAGCTAATCTAAAGCTAAGCTAAAGCTAAATTAAAGCTAAGCTAAAGCTAAGCTAGAGCTAAGCTGAAGCTAAGCTGAAGCTAAACTGAAGCTGCTGAAGCTAAGCTAAAGCTAAGCTAAAGCTAAGCTAAGGCTAAGCTAAAGCTGAGCTAAGGCTAAGCTAAAGCTAAGCTGAAGCTAAGCTGAAGCTAAGCTGAACCTAAGCGAAAGCTAAGCTGAAGCTAAGCTAAAGCTAAGCTACAGTTAAGCTAAAGCTAAGGTGAGCTAATATAAAGCTAAGCTAAAGCTAAGTTAAAACTAAGCTAAAGCTAGGGTAAAGCTAAGCTAAAGCGAAGCTAAAGCTCAGCTAAAAGCTAAAGCTAAAAGCTAAAAGCTAAAGCTGAGCTACAGCTAAGCTAAAGCTAAGCTAAAGCGAAGCTAAAGCTACAGCACAGCTGAAGCTAAGCTGAAGCTAAGCTGAAGCTAAGCTAAAGCTACGCTAAAGCTAAGCTAAAGCTAAGAGCTAAGAGCTAAAGCTAACGCTAAAGCTAAAGCTAAAGCTCCCAGGGGACTGGGGGAACCGCGGGGCGGGGACAGGGGGAACCGCCCGGGGCGCTTTCCGCTGCCCGGCCCCTTTAAGCTAGAGAGTAAGAACCCTTCTAGGCAGAGCCTAGGTAGGGAACAAGGACCACCAAGCAGGCCCAGAGACGCCCATTCAAAGAGCGATCGGTGAAGTACAAAGCTCTTCTCACCAAGGCTCCCAAGAGCGAGCCGCAGCGTAGAGAGCTCTCCCAGGCACAGCTCCCAAGAGCGAGCGGTGACGTGACCAGCCCTTCACACAGGAGCTCTCAAAAGCGAAGGGCGCCATGAGCCATCTCGGGCCTGCGAGCGTGCGCCCGCCGTCACGCTTCACCCAGGCAACTGGGAAGAACTCACTACAACTTTCCAGGCGTACCTCGCCCACGGATCCTCGCCGCACGCAGAGCGCTGCCCTTCTCCGTGGGTGCGGGTGCGAGTGCGCGAAGGTATGCGCGTATGGCACGGAGCCGCGCCGTGGAGGCGCACCAGGGAGATTGAAGGTCGGGGGCGAAGTCCACGGGTTCGCCCTAGTCATCAGCTACAACGCTGGGATCAGCGCGTGCGAGAAAGGCAAGCAGTGGCAGCGGGCTCTGTCGCTGCTCAGCGAGATGCAGGATACCAAGTTGGAGCCCACCGTCGTCACCTACAATGTCGGAATCAGCGCGTGCGGGAAAGCCACGCAGTGGCAGCAGGCGTTGTCGCTGCTCGGCGAACTGTGGAGGGGAGAGATGGAGGTGGACGCCACCAGCTACGGCGCGGCAATGTGCGCGTGTGAAAAAGTCGGGCAGTGGCAGCAGGCGCTGTCGTTGCTTCGAACGACTGGGGAGGTGAAGCTGGAGCCAGACGTGATCCACTACGGCGCTGGAATCGCCGCGTGCGGGAGAGGTGGGCAGTGGCAGCAGGCATTAGTTTTGTTGAAGGAGCTTTCAGAGGCAAAGATGGAGCTGAACACCATCGTTTGCACTTCTGCAGCCAGTGCTTGTGACAAGAGCGGCGAAGGGAGGCGGGCACTGTCCCTGCTCAACGAAATGAGGGAAGCAAAGTTGCAGGACTGTGCGGTCAGTTGCGGCGTTGCAGTCAGCGCGTACGGGAAAGAGCGGCAGTGGGAGCAGGCGGTGTGGTCCCTCTGGCAATCACGGAAGGCGAAATTGGAGCCGAGCCGAATCAGTTACAGCGCCGGAATCAGCGCGTGCGAGAAAGGCCGGCAGTGGCAACAAGCGCTGTCATTGCTCATCGAGATGGGAGAGGTGAAGTTGGAGTTGGATGAAATCAGCTGCAGTGCTGCAGTCAGTGCTTGCGCGATATCAGGCCAGTGGCAGCAGGCGCTCCAATTGCTGAAGGATGCGAGGGGGCTGGGTGTAAAGCTGGATGTGATCAGTCACAATGCTGGAGTAAGTGCGTGCGCAAATGGGGAGCAGTGGCAGCGCGCATTGTCGTTGCTCAGGGATTTGCCACAAATGAAATTGGAGCCAAACGTCATTAGCTACAACGCTGGGATCAGCGCGTGCGAGAAAGGCGGGCAATGGCAGCAAGCAATGTCACTGCTTACAGAAATCATGAAGTTGCAGATGGAACCCGACGTCATCAGTTGCAGTTCTGCAGTCAGCGCGTGCGAGAAGGACGGGTTGTGGCAGCAGGCGCTGTTATTGCTCCGCGAGTGTGGGAAACTTGAGGTGGAGTTGAATACGATTAGCTTCAATGCTGGAATCAGCGCCTGCGAGAAAGCTGGGCAGTGGCAACGTGCAGTTTTTTTGCTCGACGAGCTGATGGAATTGGAGATGCCGCTGAGCGTTATCAGCTACAGTGCTGGAATCAGCGCGTGCGAGAAGGGTGCGGAATGGCAGCAGGCACTGTCGTGGTTGAGCGAATTAGAGAAGACAAAGATGGACCCGGGCGCTGTCAGCTACAATGCAGCAATCAGCGCGTGCCAAAAATGCGCGCAGTGGCAGCAGGCATTGGCACTACTCAGTGACATGGGAGACGGCATGGGAGGTGCCATGGCACCGGCAGACACCATCAGCTACAGCGCTGGGATCAGCGCGTGCGAGAAGGGCAGGCAGTGGCAGCGCGCTTTGGCGCTGATCAGCGAGATGCGGGATTCGAAGCTGGAGCCCAACGTCATCACTTACAGCGCTGGGATCAGCGCGTGCGGTAAAGTCGGGCAGTGGCAGCGAGCGTTGGCGCTGATCAGGGAGATGCGGAATTCGAGGTTGGATCCAGACGCCGTGAGCTACAACTCTGGGATCAGTGCGTGCGAGCAAGCTGGACAGTGGCAGCGAGCCGTAGCGTTGCTCAGCGATATGTGGTGTGCGAATTTGTTCCAGCCTGCGGCACAGCGAACAGTAGTGCGCGAGTCGGCCCAGGCCGGCTACAGCGCTGGGATCAGCGCGTGCGAGAAGGGCAAGCAGTGGCAATCGGCTTTGGCGTTGCTCAGTGAGATGTGGGAGGCGGTGTTGGAGCCCACCGTCATGTGCTACAGCGCTGGGGTCGGCGCGTGCGAGAACGGCGACCAGTGGCAGCGGGCGTTGGCGCTGCTTGGCGAGATGCGGGAGGTGAAGTTGGAACCCGACGTTGCCGTCTACAGCGCTGGGATCGGCGCGTGCGAGAAGGGCGAGCAGTGGCAGCGGGTTCTGGAGCTGCTGAGCGAGATGTGATAGGCGAAGCTGGCATCCGACGTCACAGTCTCTAGCGCTGGGATCAGCGCGTGCAGGAAGGGCGAGCAGTGGCAACGACATCTGGAGCTGCTCAGCGAGATGTGATCGGCGAAGTTGGCATCAGACGTCGCAGCCTATAGCGCTGGGATCGGCGCGTGCGGGATGGGCGAGCAGTGGCAGCAGCTTCTGGAGCTGCTGAGCGAGATGTGGTAGGCGAAGTTGGCATCCGACGTCGCAGCCTATCGCGCTGAGATCAGCGCCTGCGGGAAGGGCGAGCAGTGGCAGCGGCTTCTGGAGCTGCCGAGCGAGAGCAGAGCATTGAATAGGCAATCGTCGACGGCACCAGTCTACAACCTCAAGTTCGCCAGGATTGGTTCGTTAGCGCAGCTATACTCGAAAAAGCTAGCATTCGAACTGCAGCTACTGATACTAGCGCTCAGGCACCCCCAGTATCGCCCCCCCACTCGCATCAGAGGCTCCGCACCCGCGCCCGAGATTCCTCCAGAGGTGCCGAGACGCGCACAAGATTTTCCCAGACAGGCCTGGAGACACTTCGAGAGAGGCTGCAAACCTTCCAAGTCGTTCAAAGCGCGAAAAACATGATTTGCGCTGCGCGAAGTTCGCAAAGCTCCGTGGCCTGGATGTCCGGAGGTCTCTGGAGGTCTCCATCCAAGCAGGGCGCGCCTTCTCGCACAGCGGGAAACTCGCCCTCGTTCCAGCGGCTCCTGCCCAGCAGCGGCGCTGAAGTGCGCACCGTCGACGGCCAGAACCAAGGACTCCGCGGCCACGCGCGAGGTCTCTGGAGGTCTCCCGAGGTCCGCGGGAAGTGTCAGAGGCCTCCGGTGGCCCACAGGGGGCCAAGAACGTCCAGCAGCCTCGACCCCCAAAGCCGCACGCGACTGATCCGGAGATCCTACGTCGCACAGAAGTTGTATGATCGCGAAGAAGCACCATGGGAACCCTCGACTCCACCTCTGTGCGGCATCGCTTTCGAGCTGGATCGATCCGCGAGGGCCCCATGGCCCGAAACAAAGCGAGGGCGCCCCGCCTTTAGGTGCCTTCATACGCCCGTGCAGAAACGCAGCACGCGCTGTTTCCAAAACGCCCAGGTTGAACATGCTTCGCATTAGCTGGGCACGTGTGAGCCCACGCTTTGGCGAACGTATCGCGCCAGACATTTCCAAACTGAGGGTAGGTTGCCCCTTTTGTTCGGTATGTGTTGGTACGTCGGCCAGCGGGTGTTTCGGACCCAGCGCTCTGATCCATTTGTTTTGTTTATGTTTGTCTCGTTCCATCGTTGACTGCTCCGTTTCCGCCTTCCGACGTCGCCTACGCCTCCCGTGCGATGGGAATCGAGGCCTTCTCTGATACCATGCGTCACCCAGCGCCTCTCGCGAAGAGAGGATACAAAATGGCCCGCGGCTCCAGTGTGCGCAGTGGGGACCGTGTCAACACGGGGCAGGTGAGCGCCCAGCGCAACAGGCTGCCACGCCAGGGCCCCTTGGGGCAGCCCCGCGCGCCCCGGAGAGGCCACCGGCCACGCCGCGTCGGAGGCGGCGGCGGGCGGCGCCGCGGCGCTGCGACATTCGGAGGAGGAGCTGCAGGTGCTGCGCGCGCAGCAGGCCCTCAGCCCGCGAGCGGCGGCGCGGCGAGGACCGAGGATGGGAGTCGGCGGGGGGTCCGAGGTGGCCCAGCACTGTCAGCGACGCGCAGAGGGGGGCAATCGGGGGGAGGGGGGAAGGCTCCCCAGAAGCACCCCTGCGTCTTCGAAGGCGCGAGCCTTCTCTATGGATGCAGGGCCGGCGCCTTCGAAGAAGCAGCCTCCTTCTAAGAAGCCCCCCCCCCTCCCCTTAACCCCCTTGGGCGCGCTGCCAGTGCAAGAGCGGGGAGGAGAAAGGTTCCAGGTTCTGGGTTCGAGGATGCCTCTTGCCTCTTGCGGCCTCCGGGGGCGGGCCCCAGGGTCGTCATCCAATGTCATCCGACGTAGGGGGGGGGGAAGTGGCTCGAGGTGCTGGGCTCGGAGGAGGTCTCTGTTGCCTCCTGCGGCCGCCAGGGGGCCGCAGTTCGGGCCCAGGGGTCGTCGGGAACGGATGCGGGGTGAACCAGTGCCGACGCCGGCGACGTCGATGTCGTCGTCGACGTCGTCGTCCGCTTCAGTGTGACCGCGTTTGTCTGCGATTGCAGTTGCACGACCACGTCAGGCATCGCCGCACACTCCGCGCTCCGTGGCCGCAGCCGTCCCCAGGGGCGAAGCGCGTCCTCTTGGAAGGAGCCCCGAAGCTCGAAGCGTAGGGATGTTCATTCAAAAAACGCGGGGCGAGGCGAGGAGTTTCCATTATCGTCAGACACACTTATTGATTGCAGGCCACCCTAACTCTGGAGTGGTGCTGGAAAGGAGCTCCAAGACGCGCTGGGCACCAGGCTGCCGAGCGGGCAACGGAAGGTCAGGATAGGGGGGCGCTGCATGCCCTCGCATTGCAAAATGGCCAAAGAGCCGCGTCGAGACGTGGGAGACGCCCAGTGCGGCCGAACGGCTGGCACTGGACACGTGCTGCAGGAGCTGCTCCAGCATCGTCAGAACCATCCCTACCTCCAGGGGGACGGGTAGGTCGGCTATGCCAGCGTGCACCCGTTGAATGGGGAGAAAGGCGCTCCGCAACGGGCAGGAGTCGGCATCCGTCCCCACCTGGGCGGGGTTTTCTTCGGCCAGTGGGGCCAAGGTTTCCCTGGTGGGGGGTGGGGGTGCTCTTCTTGTCCAGGAGGCTGTGGACATGTTCTGAAGGTTTCTGGGCCCAGCATGGTTTCCATGAGTTGCGCCTTGCCAGAAGCGCCCTGGGGGTGCCCGAATCGTCCAGAGCGGCTTCTGGAGTCCCGAGGTATAGCCCGAAAGCAATCAGGGTGTCCGCAGTTCGGTCCGTTCGGCAGAGTCGAGGCAGGTTGCGCTCGGTTTCGGGTGTGGTGGGCTGTTGTGTCGTTGTTGCGCCGCTGTGCCCTTCAAGGCCGCATGCAGTCCGTGTCAGTTTCGCTGGCGGTTCTGTCGGTCTTGGTTGTGCTGTCGACGTGGACGGCCTTGGAGGAGGGGATCGAGGATCGATGTCTCTGGGCTTCTTCGGCGGCCGCTTTGGCACTCTTGGGGCACACTCGTCGCCGCAGCCAGATCCGCCTCAAGTTCCTGGTCGGAGCTTTCTCTCTCTCTCTCTCTCTCTCTCTCTCTTTCTCTTTCTCTCCCCAGGACAGGCAAGGGGGGGTCATCCGAGGGGCAGAGGAAGGAGGAAGGGAGCCCAGACTCCTGTGAGTCGTGACGAGACTAAGACGGGCGTTGTTGCCATCTTGTTATCTTTTTTGTTTCTCTCTCTCTCTCTCTCTCTCTCTCTCTCTCTCTCTCTCTCCAGGACAGACGAGGGGGGGGGGGGGGGCATCCAGGGGGCAGAGGAGGGAGGAAGGGAGCCCAGACTCCTGACAGCCGTGGCGAGACACAGACGGGCGTTATGCCCTCTTGTTCCGAGGATAGGGGGGCCTTTGCGGATCGATCTGGTTCGAAGAAGGCCGCCCCAACTACGGGGTTGGGGGCTTTAGTCTTGATTTGTTTCACGACGTGAGCAGGTGCGCAACTGGAGCGTGGACAGTGTGTGCGTGTGTGGGGGGGGCATCCTCCTTCTCATCATCATCATCACCAGCATCAGCATCATCACCACCATCATCATCACCATCATCATCATCATCACCACCATCATCATCACCATCATCATCATCATCAGCATCAGCATCATCATCATCATCATCATCATCATCATCATCATCATCATCATCATCATCATCATCAGGCCGCCGCGAGCTCAGGCCTGGATGGCGCAGCGGCCTATGGGACGCGCCCCCGCTCGTCCGAGGCTTCGGACAGAGGGCCCTGCGATGGCGGCGCTGCTCGGACGCGCCGCAGGCGTGCTCCAGCTGGAGCGCTAGGCATGGGGGACATCGAAGAATATGCTGTTGAAGGAGCCGCTGCACGCCGCCGCCATTTACCTAGAGCCGTCGCTGATAAACTCACTGAGCTGCTAGAGGAGGCACTCGCGCATGGCCAGGAATACTCCCCGAGCGACATCGATCAGATTCCTTGGCCTGATGAATCTGAAGTACCGACCCCCTCAGCAAACGCAGAGACGCCAGATATTGTACTACAGCCAGCACCACCACCAGATATTGTACTACAGCCAGCCGATGCCGCATCTCCCCCACTGCCCCATCATCAGCGACGCACCGAGGATACGGACCAGCCACCGACCGACCCCATCGCACCGCAGCATGCCGTCAAGCCCGTGCCCATCGTCGGGTGGAACCCGTTCACGCTCAAGGGCTCGCCTGGCCGCCTCGACGACATCAGTGACACTTTCCGGCGATGCCAGGCGGTCATGCTCGTGGGCACTAAGATACGCCAACCTACTCCCAACACCCCACATCATCATGAAGCAGATGTTGCACATAATTGGCTACGTTTCGGATGGACACGCGGCGTACATACCAACGCTTCAGCAGGCTGCAGCATCGGCCTCGCGAAGACGCAGTTTCGCAAGCAGGACATTTGCAAGATCATGCACCCTGGGCCAGCACTACGAGGACGGGGGGGGCCTTGTTGAAGTTCACAGAGGAGGGCTACGAATACGATATATCGTGGCCTACTTTGCCCCCCGTCCCACAGGAGCCAAGACCAAACTATGGAAGGACGGATGTGTGCAATTATGGTCTTGGCTCACCAAGGCGATCACCGAATGCCCAGCGAGAACCACCCCCATTATTCTCACGGACCTGAATCAAAGCCTAGGGGTGCAGGCAAAACGAACCACGGACGGCGCAGCGGTGGGATCATATCAAGTTGGCGATGAAAGTGAGTTTGGCAGGCACGTACACAACCAGCTAGTGCATCACGAACTCCCAGCGCTGAACTCCCACGCAGACGTCGGACACACATACTATGGCCCAAAAAAGCCTCGATCACGCATTGACTATTTCATCGGGTATCATAACTTACACGAGATTATTCGAAGCATCAGATTGGACTGGCGGGCACACAAACGAGTACGTGGTCTTGAGCACGTGCCCGACAATATCCCAAGTGTAATGCGAATATGTATGCCGATCAACACGTCGAACCCACTCGACTCAAGAATAGTACGGGACTGGGGCGCACTTGCAGCGGGACTACAGACGGGATATAAGCGAGAAGAATTTCCCACAGATCCCGCAGCGGACCTGGAACGGTAAAAGCAAGCTTTTCGAGTTGCCAAGATGGATCAATTTCCGACGAGGCACGCTGCGATACTCACACACGTGATTCGCACCACGGGAGCCAACTACTACTCTCGTGGAGGGCCCCGACCGCATTGGCACAGGCAAGCTCAAAATGACCGACTCCTACTACTACGCCAGCGAGCGGGAGCCCGCGAACGTTGACATACATACAACTCACTGATGCTATGCAAAATACAAGCTAGATTGCGAGAACCTCAGAAATGGATGAATCCTTGGTGGCAGGCTTCTTTGGGGAATGATATTCGGCAGGCATGGGCATCACGCGATTTATCACGACTATCCCACTTAACTTATTTGCGAGCGGGCCGACGAGCTGGCCCACGCCGACGTTCCTACCTTTCACTTCCCACGGCGAGACCGTCGGCTAGCGAGTATGAGCAGGCACTGGCGGCAGAGGCAACCGACGGGGGCACGACAGCAATCGCGACATACGCGAGTCTCTACACCGACGACCCCACGGCGGCACCACGGATGCTGGAACAGATGGACAATATGCAACCCGTGGGCGAATACATTGGCGCCCCGACCATCGGGGACCTCGAGGAAACAAGTACCGAATTGGAATTGATTCAGAAGCGCCTGTGGCGCGAGAAGAGGAGAAGGCACAACCCACCCTGGGCATGGCCCATCGAGTTGACGGCAACGATGCTGACGCCGAAGTTTCTTACACGGCTTGGACCTGATCGCACAGGGCCGGGTGCCAATCAACGCTTACAGATCCAACAATTGGCGACCAAGCCTCCTCGACCCGACCGACGGCAGCTCCAGCTAGATTCACAGATGTGTTACAACATTATCATGGCATGTGTTACTCGTCTTGCACATGTGCGACACACGACGGAGTTGTCAGCTCAGGCGCACACCAGCCACGCCATTGCGATTGGAAAAAAAGGGCAAGGTTCCCACGGGACGGCCTATTGAAGATATTCATCAATGTGTACGGCTCCTTCATGGTTTCGATCACTTCTGGCGCCTCTATTTGCGAGTTGGACTGATTTCATATGGACCCCTGTTCGATGCACCATCGTGGGCCCACGGAGGCATGCAATCCAGACGGCGCGAGTCTTTGATGCTGCTCGCGAAGCTGATGATCTGGAAGTTGAGAGCGGCCAACATTTCATCCCTGGCCAAAACGAGTGATATGCGCAACGCTTTCGCCACGCGTGACCACATACGTTTGATTGCTGCACACACGGTACGTTGCGACGAAGAACACGTCCACCCTCTATTGGAGCAACATCGTGAGCGTGCAGCCGTTTACATCCAGGCCTCTGATGCCGCCCTAGCACTTCGGCCAGGCACAGGAGGGTGGATGTGAGATTCGAGTGCGCCAGAGCTTTTCATGAGGCCATTTTACCCATTAGTGGAGGAGTGGGAGCAG